TCTCCAGCCCTAGGTTAGTCATTTTAAATTAACCTTGGCCCAACAACCTCACTGAGATTTACTTTTTAAGATTTATTATGCCGGGCAGTGGTGGCACATGCCTTTAATCCCAGCACTCGGGAAGCAGAGCCAGGCAGATATCTGTGTGTTTGAGGCCAACCTGATCTACAGAGTAAATTCCAGGACAGCCAGAACTGTTATATAGAGAAACCTTGTCTCAGAAAATAAAAACAAATTAACTATTATTTAAGTTAGTTGTATATACCTGAGTGTTTGTGTGTGTGTGTGTGTGTGTGTGTGTGTGTGTGTGTGTGTGTGTATACATATATATATATATGTACACCTCAAGTGTGCTGTGTATGTGGAGGATAGAAAAGAATGTTTGGTTTCTTGAAACCTGAGTTACAGGTAGTTGTGAGTCACTGTATGGGTCCTGAAAACCAAACCTGGGTCATTGACAAGAACACCCACTGTTCTTAACCACTGAGCCATCTCTCCAGCCCCAACTCTTTATAATAGAGCTAATGGAAAGGATGCCAGAATTACTAAGGAGACTGAATGAGTTAATGATCCATCCATCCTGTACATGAGAAGTTCTTCGTCTTAGGGATTCTATTGCTGTGAAAAGACACTATGACCGCAGCAACTCTTATAAGGAAACATTTAACTGAAGTGGCAGCTTACTGTTTAAGAGATTCAGTCCATTATCATCTTGGTGGGGAACATGGCAGTGTGCAGGCAGATGTGGTCCTGGAGAAGATGAGGGTGCTATATCTTGCAAGCAACAGGAAGTAAACTCACACTGGGCTGGTATCCTCAGCATAGGAAACCTCCCCCACAGTGACACACTTCCGCCAACAAGGCCATTCCTACTGCTAGCAAGTCACACCTCCCAATAGTGCCACTTCTTTGAGATTATTGGGTACAATTACATTCAAACTGCCCCACTCTTGATAACTTGTCACTACTGCTCTTCTCAGCAAACCTCATGGAGGCCACTGCCACCATTCATCACTGAGTGCCTAACGCTTTGTGCATACAAACTTATTGAAAGTCCATGATGACAGCCCAGAGCGCAGTGGCTGTGCTGAGATGGTTTTGTAGAGTGTGAAACAGGTTTAGAAGTGTCACATGTCTTGCTGCCCTCAGGTCTTAGAGCTCAGGTCTAGGATCTGCTGCTTCCCAGACCATCCTGGCACATTAGGACAGTTGCCTCTGTCCGGGAAGCTGCCTCGGTACCTATGTGTGCTGTCTCTCATGGAACTTTTGTCTCTTTCTCTACTCAGCCTAGTTACAGTCAGCCACCCTACAACCAAGGAGGCTACACCCAGGGCTACACAGCCCCACCGCCTCCGCCTCCACCACCACCTGCCTACAACTATGGGAGCTATGGCCCCTACAATCCTGCCCCCTACACCCCACCACCACCCCCCACTGCCCAGACCTACCCTCAGCCCAGCTATAACCAGTATCAGCAGGTAAGTAACAAGATGGGCCTCCCGGTGAGGCTTCTGGGAGCACTCTTGGATGTGTATTCAGACACGATTTTCTGCCTGTTCCTGAAATATGGGTAGCTGCTTGCCTCAAGCTAGTGTTCAACAGCCTTTGGTAAACTGGTCTTTGCTGGCTAATAACTGGCCCCTAGTGCAGGAAGCTGACCTGACTGAGCAGAGACCGGCTTTGGCACCATGGCCAGGGGTGCCAAATGCTAATCCAAGTTGGTGCTGGGGCCACCACTTCTGCAAAGGACAGCCAGGAAACCAGGCCTGCATTCCCTGATTGTTTATGTGGCATCAACTCAACACTTATTTCCAAAGCACTTTGCTTTCTGTCAGAGGGCTCATGTGTTGAGGGTGGGCCATGAGAGGAACGAAGGGACAGTCTGGAATGGTGGGGAGATAACCTGGTATTCTTGCTCTCTCCCCAGTATGCCCAGCAGTGGAGCCAGTACTATCAGAACCAGAGCCAGTGGCCGCCGTACTACGGGAACTATGACTATGGAGGATACTCGGGCAGCACACAGGGGGGCACAAGCACACAGTAGCAGGTGCCGGAGCCTCCAGAGGCCCATGCCAGCTGCTTCTACTAGCACCTGCCTTGGCCCCTCCACCCCTCTGAGTCCTGTGGTGCTGGGGACACAGTTATCCCAGGGCTTGCCTCCCTCTAGCCCACTTCTTCCAGAGGGCCTCTCCCTTCAAACAGGAACAGTGGTCTTTTCTTTTATCTTTGTCCCCTCTACGTTCTCCTCTTCCTGCCTTTTTGACTACAGAAGCCTCCTCTCCTTTGATTACCCAGCGAGGCCGCAGTGACTGGGGGAGACCCTGCCCATCTGCCCCTCCCAACCCTGCTTTAGCCCCTTGGCTTCCCAGACTCATGCAGTTGGTTGTAAATTCTTCCAGGAGCTGTTTTACTGTCTACTTTTCAGGATTTAAAAAAAAAAAAATTCAAAAACTTTAATAAAAAAAAAGTTTAAGAAGCAAAATGTAGAGGGAGGAAGCAGTGACATATTTTTTGGTAATTATGCTTTTTTTTAATTTTTAGAATTTGTCTGTTTTTACTGTGGGTCAGCCATTGATACTTCATCAAATAACTATTTCTTTGCTGAGTTCAGGTAACCGAGGAAGAGCCACGCCCTCGAAACAAACAACAAAATCACCTTTAACCTAACTTTTTGTATGATGTCTCAGTTCCCCATAACTTTGCACATAAGCGTCTATGTTCTGTTGGATTGTAACTGCTTTTTGTATTTGGAGAGAGTGTGACTATTGAACTTGAAACCTTTTACTCCAGGAGTCTTGGTAGTTTCTGGTGGGCTTAAGTGGGTGAGAGGGTGAAGGGAAGGTGGGGGTGGGGCCGGCTTCCCTTTAACCCTAAAGTTTCTCCACCACCTCCTCCATTGCTCTTCCAGGTGCCAGACCTCCAAAATTTTACAGTGGTCCCTTTGATTATTCTCACCTTTACCCATATGTTTTAATCGGATTTTAACAAACTGCACTTATTAAGAAATGTTTTACCCTGTTTTGTTTTACTTTCTTTCAATAAATGACATGGCACCTCCTATCAGGAAAGAAGCAGGGTTGAAACCCTGACGTGTTTGCTGCAGTTTGGCCTTTAATTGGGATGGGAGGCTTTCGAAGGGGAATGCTTCACTCATTCATTTAAACAAAATGGTTCTGTACCTCACGACCCAGATGCTCTTTGGGCAGGGGACAGACAGGTGGGACCTGTAGGGAAGAGACCAGGTTGGTTTGGAGCCATCCCTAGGTTTGTTGCCCACCCACACCCCTTGAGACCTGGCCTGGGTGCTCCTCTTGGGGCAGCCTTGTACTGCCTCCCATTTAAGCATTGACTGCCTATTGTCGGCATCCTGGACAGCGCTAGGGACCTTGAGCAACTGCAGAGATGGTTCTAGTCCCTGTTCTCGAGGTTCCCCTCCAGGGGATACATGTTTGTAACTAGTGACAGCCCCAAAGGTTTAGCGAGAGAGACTCTGGAGTAATGGAAAGAGGGCTCTCTGGAGAAGAGGAAAATGTAACATGAGATTGGACTCTAGCCCACCTGCTTCATTGTGCAGCTTCCTAGCTTCTTGTGCAGGCTGTGTGATTCACATCTGATACAGTGTGCACAACTCCGTCCTGCTCCCTTGGAGGAACTGGGGACAGACATCCCAGTTCCCTTGAGGTTTGCAGTTAACTTCCTGGATAGTTTAGACCCTGTCTCCAAAAGTGAGGGTTAATGCATACTGTTCACCAACAGGGCCAAACATCAGGAGGGAGGCTGAGAAGTTGGAGGGACCATGTCTGTGCTTAAAAGGCACTTGTCAGCTTGGTCTAGAAAAAGGCAAGGAGGGGTGGGTCCTCACTGTCCCTAGTCTGAGAAGTCCTGCTCCTCCACTCAGCGCCCTCTGCTGACCACTACTGATAATGCAGACGAGTAGTCCCCACTCTGGGGGGATGCAAACTAGTTCTTCCTCTTCCAACTGTATGTGAATTGATCACCAGCTTCCTCACAGTGCTCTCCACTTCCTTTCCTTGGTTCCCTTCCTCAAACCCTGTAGGCTCCAACCGCTCGTTAGGGCTAGGAAGCCCTGCCTGACCTGGCACTGATGACCATGGCCTCACACACCCTCTTAACTTACTTTTACTTTCTTGAGACAAGGTCTTGCTATGTAGCCTGGGAGGCCTGAATCTCACTAATAATCAGGCTGGCTCAAACCTTAAGTGATTTCCCAGCCTCTGCCTCCTGAGTACTGTATGCCCTGACCATAGTAAGCCATTCCAACATCTAGTGCTACCCGTGCCAGCCAAACTGCCCCAAGTATTTCCTAACTCCTGATCATCCCTTCAGGTCTCATCTGGGGTCTGTATCTCTACCTACAAGCCTCCCACCTACCCTGTGGTGGGCAGGACCCTCTCCTTCCCACAGCAAATTCCCACAAGCCTCACACCTGCAGGGTTTCCTCCTTGTTTAGAAACACAAAGGTCCTTTCTCTGACTTCATCTCGTGCCAGCCACAGACTGAATGTGATGATGACAGAAGGGAGTCAAACCACGGAGGTGGGTGAGATGGCTCAGCAGTCAAAGATGCTTGCTGGGTAGCTGGGTGGTGCTGCACGCCTTTAATCCCAGCACTCCGGAGGCTGACTGGGAAACCCTGTCTCGAAAAATAAACAAAAAGTTTGCTGGCAATCTTGACTGAATTCTGTCCCCAGAACCCACTCCCATAAATTGTCCTCTGGTCACATATGCATGCATTATTTTTAAATTAAAAAGCATAGTCGAGTCTCCAGATCCTGGAGGATGCTTATGCAACAACTATTGTAAATATTAACTACGTGAGGGCCTGGAGTTACGGCAGCGATCAAATGACATACAGTACCCGATGGTTTTTAAATTTGCGAACGCTGAAGATTCATTCGGCCTACCGCCCTTTTCATACCTGGTTGCTGGGGACGGGGCCACGCATGCGCAGAGAGGCGGGCCACCTTTGACCCGGAACTTTAGTGACTGGGTGCAGTTTAAGCACTCGGTCAGTGACGCTTCCATAGCCGGAAATGGTTGCGGCTGCTTAAGGTCCGTGCTGGTTTCCGGACCTCGCTGCGGCGGTTAATGAGTCGGAGACTTGGGATGGAGGCCGTAGCAGTCGGGGCGGTAACGGACAAGTCCGATGATGGTGAGGCACTGACCAGGCGCAGGCGTCGGGAGAGGGCTCTTGTGGTGTGACCTGGAAACGGTTCCGGTAGACTGTCTAGGAAGTGTAACCTCAGCCTCCCGGCATTTTTAGCACTTGCTCCACTTTGAGGTCAGATTATTGCCTTGTGGCAGGTGGACAGTTTCCTCCATTTTCTTATAATCCCTTTCAGTGTCCCAGACTAACCCCTTGCTTGCCAATGTCTCAAGCAAATATAAACTTCTTCAACTGCACATTCTTCCAGTCTCAGGCCAACCTTTCTCAAGGTACTTTTTTCCTGTACCAACCTGAGCTTTTCTGTGCCCCAAGCTAGCTCTCCTCTTGTCCCATGCAAACTGACTTATGTAAGACCCACAACGCCCATTGCATTCTAACTCCCTTGTCCCCAAAGTCTGCAGTCCTTTCTGCCTCCTCAAGTCCTTTCTCCCTCGCGCCTGCAATGCCTTTTACTGTTCTACTGAATTCCCACAAGTACTGCCTCTGTGTGTGTGTCAGTCTTTTTCTATAGCAACTTCCCTTCCTCCTGTCTTAGCCTCCGAAGTGCTAGTGTTACAGCCCGGCGCTACCACACCTGTCTTTAAAATACTTTTTTGTCTTGCTCACCTTAAAAACTCATTGTTTCAAAGTAATCTGACATGGTGGTGTCGGGGGTATAATCAAAGCCATTTGACAAGAACTGGGAGTTACTTAAACTGAACAGCAGGATTATGAATGTTGAGCAGATGTCCTTGTATTCTTTATCTAGGTTTCAATCTTTGATGATCTCCAGGTATGATGGCACAAACCTATAATGCCAGCACTTGTGAGACTGAGGCAGGTTTGCCTTGAGTTTACAGCCAGCCTGAACTACATAGTTCCAGGCCACAAAGTGAGACCCTGTACAGTGAGGCCCTGCCTCAAAAATGTGTATATTAATATGTTCTATAGCTCTTAAACTTCTGATTGTTGGGGCCTAAGTCCTGGGCCTTATGAATACTAATTATACATGCTACCACTAAGCCATACCTTCAAACTAAAAGAGGATCTGGGCCAAGATATGGTGAGATAGGCGTATAATCAGGAGCCTGAGGCAGGAGGATGGAAAGTTCAAAGCCAGGGACTGAGGATCTGGCTTGCCTAGCATGCCTGACTCTGGGCTCAGTCCCCAGTGCCACATAAACTGTGGTGGAGCAGGCCTGAAGTCCTAGCACTCCAAACATTTATTAAAAGAAAGAAAAAGTGCCCTTGGTGATGCCTTCTGCAGTTGTTTTTTTTGGGGGGGGGGGCGGGGTTGTTTGTTGCTTGCTTGTATTTGTTTTTACTCTTTGCACTTTGGAGGCTCACCACCCAGCTCCCAAATAAATACATGGAGACTTATTCTTACTTATGAATGCCTAACCTTATCTTGGCTTGTTTCTAGCCAGCTTTTCTTAACTTAATCATTCCTTTTCCCTCTGGGCTTTTCCCTTTCTCTATTCTGTATGTCTTCCTTTACATCTTACTCCATTGCTGTGTGTGTAGCTGTGTGACTGGCCCCCAGCATTCTCCTCCTCTCCTCCTTTTCTCACTCTTCCTTCTTCCCTTATTTATTCTCTCTGCAGGCAAGTCCTGCCCATCCTTTCTCCTGCCTCGCTATTGGCCATCTAGCTCTTTATTAGACAGACCATCAAGTGTTTTAGGCAGGCAAAGTAGCACAGCTTCACAGAGTTAAATAAATTCAACATAAAAGAATGCAACATTGGGGCTGGAGAGATGGCTCAGAGGTTAAGAGCACTGACTTAACCTCTAAAAGTCATTCTTTTTTTTTTTCTTTTTATTTTTCAAGACAGTGTTTCTCTGTAGCTTTTGGAGCCTGTCCTGGAACTAGCTCTTATAGACCAGGCTGGCCTCAAACTCACAGAGATCTGCCTGCCTCTGCCTCCCAAGTGCTGGGATTAAAAACATGCACCACCATTATCTGGTGTAAATAAGCAAATCTTAAAAAAAAAAAAAAAGCAACACATCTTTGCATCATTAAACAAATATTCCATAGCATGAATGAATGTAATGAATGTAGCACATCTTCAAATAATACTCCACAACAGCCTCTCAAATACCTGACTTCTCCAGAGAGTCATACACACTGCTCGTCATTTTCTTTACCCACCACCCACTATAGCCTCTCCTTTACTCTGTACTTGTTCAATTAGGATCTCCAATGGCGTCCTTGCACGTGCAGTTAAACATGGCTACTCCATCTAGTTGTTTGGGTTTTGTTGTTTTGTTACATTTTCATTGCTATTCCTTTCTCTATAGCAACTTGCCTTTAGTTTGTTTATTTGAGATGGGTTTTGCTTTGTAACCCAGGCTTACCTAGAACCCACCATGTAGTCCAGCCTGGTCTCAAACTCGTGAATTGTTCTATCTCAGCCTCCCTAGTGGGCTACAGGTGGGTGCCACCCTGTCCAGCATCTGGACTGTTTACAGGAGTCAGTGCCATTGACCCCTCCATCCTGGCAAGTTTGCTTTATGAGACAGCATGCTCTGGCTTCTCCCTGCTTCTCAGGATGCTCCTTAGCCCTTTGTGTTATTTCTCACGACTGCGGTACTGAATGACCAGAAAATGGGTGTTTAAAATGAACAGAAATGAAATCTAGACTTAGAATTACCAGACAGAAATAATCAGGCCACATGGCCTGGCTCCCTCACAGGCTCTAGGCTGTTCCTCGTCTCTTCCAGTCAGAGATGGCACTGGTACTTGCTGGCTTGTGCCCATAGCACTCTGATCTCTGCCTCCACTGTAATAGCACCTGTGTGTCTGATCTTCCTCTGTCTTTCTTGATTTTATTATTATTTTATGTGTATGGGATTTGGCCTATATGCATGTCTGTGCATGGTGCCCACAGAGGCCAAGAGGGTGTCTGATCCCCTGGCACTGGAGTTATACATGATTGTGAGCTGCTGTGTGGGTGCTGGGAATCAAACCTGGGTTCCCTGGAAGAGCAGCTGGTGCCCTTAACCACTGAGCCATCTTTCCAGACCTCCCTCAGTCCCTTATTGCATTTAGGACATTTAACCCAAAATAATCTCTCAGGTTTTCTGTTTGTTTTTGTTTTCTGTGGGGTTTTTGTTTTGTTTTGTTTTGTTTTTTCTGAAACAGGGTTTCTCTGTGTACCTTTGGACCTGTCCTGAAACTAATTCTTGTAGATCAGGCTGGCCTCGAACTCACAGAGATCCACCTGCCTCCAACTCCCAAGTGCTGTGATTAAAGGCATGCGCCACCACCGCCCAGCTAATCTCTCAGTCTTTAAGAGCCACAATATAATTATGTCTGTGGAGACCCCACACACACTGTTAAAAGTTTCAGCAGTTAAGATGCGTCTGTCTTTGGAAGACCTAGTTTTTAGCTTTCACATGCATGTCCTCTGCCCATATGTCCAGTGTCATCTGCTTTGTGGTTTGTCTGTACACATTCCCCTCACCCCATGTGTCGCTTCCCTCTGCCTGGCTCTGTATATGTGTACAGCCGTGTCTCCAGCACTGTACCTCTCTGGGGGATCTGGGAGGCCTATGTCCCAGCATTCTCTTAGATACAGCCTCTCAAATGTCTCCCCATATCCATGGCTGCTTCCCTAGCCCAATCTGCTTCCTGCCTCTATCCCTGGGAGTAGTTTGTCTGTCCCTTAGGCTAGAGCCTTGGACCTACCCCTAACCCTCCTAGCCCTCCAATCCCATGGCTTGTCCATTTAAGAATCTGACCCTCCTTCAACTGCATGGCCCCAGCCTCTCTTACTTCAATTGCTGATACTCACAGTACTTTACAGTCTGTATCTGCCCCTCATCCCAGTCAGTTATCTAAAAGTGGCACATGGTTCTCCCATCTTTGCTTTTCTAGTACTTGCTTAAGTTCCTTCCTGCTTCCACTGACTTTGCCCGGCGCCTGTCTTTCCTGTTCTTTGCCTAGGTCATTAGGTCATCTTTGATCAGGACCTCCCATATCAGACTGGCTGCCCCCCCCACGCGCACAAGAGTGGGGGCTATAGGAGTCCTCCCTAGGATATGCCATACTGGCCCAGGGCTTTACTTGGTAACAAATGGTTAGGGGATGTGGGAGTACCTAAGGGGAAGTGAATAAGGATGTAGGTCACTGTCCTCGTCACTATTCTGTTGCTGTGAAGAGACACTGGTGGTTTGAAAGAAAATGACCCCAAAGGAAGTGGCACTATTAGGAGTGTGACCTTGTTGGAGGGAGTGTGTCACTGTGGGGTGGGCTGTGAGGTCTTTTTCTCAAGTTTCGCTCGGTGTGACAGTCAGTTGACTTCCTGTTGCCTGTAAGATGCAGCACTCGGCTCCAGCATCACGTCTGCCTGCATGCTGCCATGCTCCCCACCATGATGATAATGAACTGAACCTATGAAACTGTAAGCGAGCCACCTCAATCAAGTGTTTTCTTTATAAGAGTTGCTGTGGTCATGGTGTCTGTTCACAGCAATAAAAACCAAGGCAGACACCATGACCACAGCAACTCTTTTAAAGGAATGCATTTAATTGGGCCTCACAGTTTCAGAGATTTAGTCCATTATCATTATGGCAGGGAGCATGGCGGAATGCCGGCAGGTGCTGGCACAGTAACTCATGGCCACATCCTCATCCGTAGACTGAGAAACTCTTGGCTTGGCACTGGCTTTTGGAACCTCAAAGCCTACCCCAGTAACACACTTCCTCCAACAAGTCCACACCTCCTGATCCTTCAAGTCCTTGCAATAATGCCCCTCCCTAATGACCAAGCATTCAAATGTAGGAGCCTATGGGGGCCGTTCTTATTCAAACCACCAGTCATTGAACAAGTCAGTGACTGTATCCTAATGTGATGGCTCAGGAAACCAGCAAAGCCTCAGTAGGTCAGGCATCAGGGCCTGTGCTGCTGCTCCCTAGTGAGAAGTTTTTAATCCCAAAAAGTACAGCGGTCAGTCTCTCAGCACTTTAGGTTTTTACTCAGATAAAAAACTTTCTTATTTTTATCCTGTATGTGTTGGTGGTTTTATCCACATTCATGTCTGCACACCACAAGCATATATTGCCGAGGAGGCCAGGAGAAGACGCCGCATCCTCGAGCACTGGAGTTACAGACAGTTGTGAGCTGCCACGTGGGTGGTGAGAATTGAGCCTGGTTATCTGGAAGAGCAGCCAGTGCTGAGCCATCTCTCCAGATGTCACTTCCTGGCAAGCTTTGTTACCCTCCATTTAATGCTGAGCTGCCCCCACATCCCTCCTGTCTTCTTGGGATTCTCCTTTGCATGCTCTTTCATCACCATCAGTGTGTTTTGGATTTTTATTGTTGGTTTGTTTTCATTTTTGAGATTCAGTCTCCTGTATAGTCCTGGCTGGCCTTGAACTACTCATAGAGCTCCACTTTCCTCTGAGATTAAAGGTGCTGGGATTAAAGGCGTGTGCTACTGTGCCAGGCTTGTCTGTTTTGGCTTTTCTACATACTCCATGTATTTTGTTAATTAATTAGTGATGTAGGTGGGCCTTCTGTCTATCTGTTATTTTCATTGGTTAATAAAGAGACGGCCTTGGCCCTTTGATAGGACAGAAAATTAGGTAGGCGGAGTAAACAGAACAGAATGCTAGGAAGAGGGCAATGAGGCAAACGCCATGGAGCCAGCCACCAGGTCAGACGTGCTGAATCTTTCCCGGTAAGCCACCACCTCATGGTGCTACACAGATTATTAGAAATGGGTTAATCAAGATGTGAGAGTTAGCCAGTAACTAACTCTCTAGAGATAATGGGCCAGGCAGTGTTTAAATGAATACAATTTGTGTGTTGTTATTTCTGGGGCTAAGCTAGCTGTGCGGGAGCTGGGCAGGCCTGCCCGCAGCTCCTTCTTCAAATTAGGGTATTGACTATGCCGCATCATGATGGAACCTCTCATTCACCATGCTCTGTCCAGGGCCTAACACATTCCCCAGGATGCCAGGGACACTCCATGAGTGCGAACTGTGTGTGCCAACACCCAACCACTTCCTACCTAATCCCTTCCCGATGCCCTCTTAGCCTTTAACTAAAGACTCCCCTTGACTTGCAGACAGTGTGGAGCCCAGATGTGTGCACTGGGGGGAGCTGAGCCAGGCTCCTGTTCCATCTGCACCCCAGGACAAGGAGACAAAAGAGAGTATACCAGGAGTCCCCGATGGTGACATCTCCCAGGCTGAGAGTCCGGCCGTGAGTGCCATGCTGCATGCCATTGCCGCAAGCCACCTGCCTGTGTGCAGCCAACAGCAGGGCGAGCCTGACCTGACAGAGCATGAGAAAGTGGCCATCCTGGGCCAGCTCTATCACGAGAAGCCACTGGTGTTCCTGGAGCGTTTTCGCACCGGTCTCCGGGAAGAGCACCTGGCCTGCTTTGGCCACCTGCGTGGGGACCACCGTGCTGACTTCTACTGTGCCGAGGTGGCCCGGCAAGGCACTGCCCGACCCCGAACCCTGCGCACCCGCCTGCGTAACCGACGTTATGCTGCCCTGCGAAAGCTCATCCAAGGTGTTGGGGGATGGTGGATGGTGGGGGACAGAGGTGGGGAGGAAAGGGAGACTGAGGCTGAGTGAGCGAGACAAGGCCCAAGTGTAGGAACCCCAAGATATCCTTGGAGTTAAGTTTTGAGACAAAGAGAGCGGAGACACAGACCCACAGTGAAGTAAGGGAGAGAAAGGTGAGCAGATAGGGCCAGAATTCAGTAGATGACAGGGTCACATTTGTTTGGCAGAGTCTCACTCTGTAGTGCCCAGGCTGTCTTTGAACCCAAATTCCTCCTGCCTCAGCCTTTCAAGTGTTGGCAGAAGTGACATCTTAGATGGCTGTGACTGAGGACACCATAGAGAGCACTGTGATAATCAGATGTCCCTAAGGACTGGGAGTTCTCATTGTCACACCGTGCACAAAAAGCACTGTTGGAAACCAAGGAGGGATATACGTATGGCCTTGGGCACAAGGCCAACCTGAACAAAACACAGGTGAAAAGCATGAAGGAAGAAGAGCCTGGTGTAGCGGTTCATGCCCCAACACTCAGGAGGCAGAGGCAGGAGGATCTCTGAGTTTGGTGCCAGCCTGGTCTAGAGTGGCTCAGGCCTGGGTACATAAACTGCTCAGCCCAGGCTGTATATTCAGTACCCCACAGAACCTCAGGCACCTGCGGGTGACTTTATCGTGTACCTCAATCGCATACAAATGTAAACATCTCATAAGCAGTTCACACACATACATGCCTGGACACGGGTGCTCACCCCTAACCCTGCCTCTTGTGCACAGGAGGCGAGTACTTCAGCGATGAGCAGATGCGGTTCCGGGCCCCGCTGCTGTATGAGCAGTACATAGGACAGTACCTCACACAGGAAGAGCTCAGTGCCCGCACACCAGCCCCCCAGGCCCCCAGACCCAGCTCCCCCAGCACACCTGCCTACCCACTCTCCGACCTGCTCTTCCAGTCCTACCAGGAACGGGAGCTGCAGCAGAAGCTGCTCCAGCAACAAGAAGAGGAGGATGCCTGCTTTGAAGAGGAAGAGGACAGTGATGAGGAAGGTGAGGGCCGACAGCAGGGCACCCTGCCCCAGGCCTGTTCCCCATGTTGTGGTACCTGTCTGAGCCCTAATCTGTGAGAGTAGACACGATGTCTGGCCTCATCCTCTGCCCTGCCATCTCCTCCTGACCACTGTGGTACACATGGCATCCCCATTTTATCCACTGTACACCCCAGGAGGGCAGGCATGGGGTTGGACATAGGACGGTAGCTTGTCAGACGCCTTCAGGTCACTGTCTTGGGTATCTCTACAGACCAGAGGTCAGACAAGGACTCGGAGTCCTGGGTGCCCGACTCAGAGGAGAGGCTGATCCTGAGGGAGGAGTTCACCAGCCGCATGCATCAGCGATTCCTGGATGGCAAAGATGGGGGCTTTGACTACAGGTGCCTCCCATTCCCAGCCCAGCACCCATGGCCCTGGGCCACAAGCAGGCCCCTGTCCTCACAGGCCCTCCCTTAGTGGGACTAGAGAGCCCTGGAGTAGTTCCCCACCATGGGTCCTAGTGATGTCAGTCACTCAGAGGTGTTACATCAACAAGAGTTGATAGCTGGGGTCTCGGGCTAACCTTGTCTCTCTCGGAGCCCTAATCCCTTCATTCATAGGTAGAGAGGTACACTGACATTTAGTTCAGTGTTGATAAAGCACTGAGATGAGGCCAGTAGTGCACACCCTCCATCCCAGCAGGTGGGAGGCAGAGGTGTTGGGTCTCTGAGCTCCAGCCAGGGTGATGTGATGAGACTTAGTCTCAAGAAGAAAGAAAAGAAAGATAAATGATAAGTGGCTGTCATCTGAGCCAGTCTCTCCGTTATGATCCCATCCATGGGCCTGGCAGTTCAGGATCCTGCCTGTTCACACCCAGCCCAAGTGACATGTGACCTGTGTCCATGAACAGCATCAGTGGAACAGGGAGCCTGATTACCATTGCTCTAGAGGCCATGCTGGGATCCCCACAGATCTGGAACCAGTGGGGTTCATCCACTGCTAAGCAGGGCTACCAAGACTATGCATAATGTTGGGCCATGGCACCTGTGAGCCAGCCCTGGTAACACTAGGTAACCCCAAGGATGTCAGGAGTGGGGACCTAACCCTGTGCTTTCAGGAGGGCTGCTGTAGGGCAGCAGAGGCCCAGATGTGTCACACAATCAATTTATGCTTCTATATGCCTTCTATGTCCAGAATCCAGAGTTAAAGCGAGGGGTAAGTGCAGCCAAGGATTCCCTGCCTGAAAGAGGCCCCCTTCTATTGACGGCAGTCTGCCCAACTTCATTAGTGGTGGAGCTCAGAAGGGGAGAGGACAGTGTGTTGTCAGAGCCTTAGTGGGTGGCATCTGAGCAGATCTGCCAAGAGTGAAGGCGAGGGACACAAAGGACACCGGTGCCAGGGTAGACCTGAGATTGCTAAGGGTCCATCTTGGATGAGTGACACCTCGGTGACTCAGATCCACATGGGACTGGGGTGCTATGGGAACAGTCAAAGTGCCACATTGCCCCTGCAGGCCCTGGTGTTCTCACATCTTCCAATCTGCAGAGTAGCCAGAGTTTTGGTTCATTTTTTTTTTTTTTAAGATTTACTTATCATATATACAGTGTTGTGCCTGCATGTATGCCTGCATGCCAGATCTTATTACAGATGGTTGTGAGCTGCTTATTACAGATGTGGTTGCTGGGAATTGAACTCAGGACCTCTGGAAGAGCAGGCAAGGCTCTTAACCCCTGAGTAATCTTTCCAACCCTCAAAGCCAGTGTTTTTTTATGTAGACTGATTGGGATTCCAAAAGGCCCAGCATCCCCAGGGAGTCAGCTCCCCTGACCTGGGCCCCATGACCACTGACAGCTTCCTTTTCTGCAGCGCGGTGGATGACAACCCTGACTTTGATAACCTGGACATTGTGGCACGCGACGAGGAGGAGCGATACTTTGATGAAGAAGAACCCGAGGATGTGCCCAGCCCAGAGCTAGATGGGGACTGATGGCTCCCACCCTTCCAGCCAGTGACACACCTTGCCCATCCCCCTACAGGCAGCTGATTACAGGCAGCTGATTACAGGCTGGCTTAGTGACTTGGGGGCCATCAGGGCAGGCCCCCAGGCCTGACACACTTCAGACAATGCCCACACTTCTGTTTATGGGGTTTCCACTCTTCTGGAAAGTCATTGCCCCTCTCTCCTTGGCCCTACCTCTCTGTCCTTTCTCTTTGAGATGGGGTCTCACCGAGGAGCTGGCTAGCCTGTTGCTTTGTAGCCCTGGCTGTCCTGAAACTCTGTCCTCTTGTCTCTGCCTCCCACATGCTGTGCATGCCCTGGCCTACCAGTCTTGTTCTTATCCCCTCTCCCCTCTTTTAGTTTCTTAGGTCTCCAACATCTGTGCATCCACCCTTCTGCCTTTCTCTGTGTTATGGGTGCTGTGCCCACACAGAGCCCTGAACGATTGTGGCTGCAGCTGTCACATGGATTCTAGTGTTTAGATCAGGCTGCGCCCAGTTCTGGGCTTTTCCATTTCTCTGTGCCCGTGTCCTACACTGGTCCCCTCTCTCCTGTACCTCAGTCTTCAGGCCTTCTCATCCCTTCTGTGTGTCCATTCCGTTTCTCTCCAGGCCTCTGCCTTACTGTCTGTCCCTGTCTCAGCCTTTATGTCTCTGCTCCTCTATGTCCCCGCCCCCAGGCCTGGCAGCTATGGGCAGCAGAAGCCTGGGTACCCAGTGAGACTTCCCTCTGGGTGGGGGTCAGGGGAACCCAGAGGGCACCAGGCTCTGCTGCTCCCTTTGGACCTTGGCTGGGAATGCTGGCAGAGAGAGGCAGAGCTGGGAACCACAGGGCCAGCTTGAGTGTAGGAGGCACTTGAAGAAGGGGACCGTCCCCTATTAGCCCCCCTTCCTAGCCACAATTTTCCTTTTCTTCACTTCTTCCACCTCCCTCCCCCTCTCCTGTTTACACTCTCCAAGTACACATAGGCTGTTATCATGTGTCTTGAGTCACCTCTCCCCCTCTCTCTCTCTGTCTCTCTCTCTCTCTGTCTCTCTGTCTCTCTCTCTCTCTCTCTCTCTCTCTCTCTCTCTCACACACACACACACACACACACACACACAGAGAGCCTGCCCTAGTGTCCCTGCCCCCAGCAGGCCACAGGGCCCGCCCCACAGGGCCCTCCCCACAGAGCCCCCTGCTGCCTGGGACTAATGAGAGCCAGATGGCTGCCTGTGAGTCAGCCATGGCCTGTGGGAACCCAGACGTCCTACCTTCCCATGCCCCACACCCGGCTCCTGCTGCCCCAGCAGATAGAAGGGACCTGCTACTGTCCCTTCTGAGGATGGAGGCTAATGTGTCTGAGCCTGAAGAGGCAAGCTACTCTGAGACAATTGTGGCATTCTATTTGGCTATACCTGCAGGACCCTTAAAACTGCTTTCTTGAGCTAAAGTCCTGACCCCTGGGTCAACTAAACTCACCCAGAGAGCTACTCGGGACAGAGGGTGTTGGCATGAAAGCTTGAAATATGGAAACGACCTCAGTAGTTCCACCTGGGCCAGGCTGCCTGAGGCAGTGGTGACACCTCTTGACAACCTGATCCAGACTGTCAACTGCCACTTGTCACAAATGACGAAACAGCCCAGAAAAGCTGTTGAGATCACCTGGCCTTCCAGGCAGAGCAAGACTAGAACACACTCCTACATGCCACTCCTGCCAGCGTGTGACTGTGGGGGCCAGACAACAGAGGGGACAGAAGACAAACCGAGAGAGCCTGTGGGAGATGGAAGTGCCATGGCATGTGTACGAGTGATGTGCTGTTACAGCCCTGCCCTTGTCCCCCAGAGGCCTGCTGGGGGCTCCCAGCAGGAGCCAAGAGTGCTCTTTGGGGAGCTGGGTTAGCTTAAGTCTTTTCAGTTGACCAGTGTTCTGTCTGATTATTAAACTGATTGAAGACAGAAAGGCTGCCGTCCATCAGTTTGTTATGTAACTTTAAAGAGAGCTGAGCCACACAGCCACTGAGTCAGGATCTGGGCTTAGTCAGATGGTTGAGTCTGCAAATGAGAGAGAGGTGGAGCCCGCCACAAGGACAGGGATTAGATGAGGAGACAGGAAGAAAGGTGGAGACAGAGGAGGGGGCAGACAGCAAAGGCACACCCTGCTTGAGCAGACCCTCCCTCCCCCGTGGTGGCTGGCGCCTCAGCCTCTGATCTGGTTCCTGGGGATGAGGTGGGCGGGGAGGCTGAGTCAGGGAGGGGAGAGCCCCTCTGTGGGTATCCGGCCCCCACCTCCATGTCTCCTGTCTGTCCTGCCCTGGACTGGGCTCAGGTGGCCGTTGCCCCGTACCCTTGTCTACCGTCACCTCTCTGCCTCCTGCTCCCCAACCTTAGCTCTTTTTTGGAAAGGTCCCTGTCTGACCCACACCATCCCCATTTCCTTCCTCTCCCATCTGTGCCCCCATGTTTCCCATCCTTTCCTCTTTCTCCTGGGCTTCTGCCCTTGGTCCCTCAAACACACTTCTCTGCCCCTTGTTCACCAGGCTCTTAGCTCCTTTACTGTGAATGTAGCCTGCCCCCTTCTTCCCCCGCCGGCCTTCACCCTCACGTTTTTTCTCTCCCTCTCCCTGCTGTCTGCTGGTCCATATCCTTACCCCATTTGCCTCCCAGACCCTGGGAAATCCAGGTCAGAGCTCCACTGGTGGCCCCTAGGAACCTAAAACAAGGGGTCACCACCTTGTCCCCACCCACGAGAGGCCAGCAAGGCTGCCTGCCTGTCTGAGCAGAAGGAAATGTCTGTGCTGTAGCCGGGTCGGGGGGGCCCCCCCCCCCCCCCCCGGGGGGGGGGGCGGGCGCGGGCCGGGGGGGGGACGGCGCGGCGGGCAGCCTGGGGATATCTATACCAAGGCTGGGCGTAAGGCCAGTGCCCACCACAGCCCCTGCCCTGCCCTGCCCGTTGCCACAGCCAGCCCCAAGCCAGCGTGGCACCCGCCAGCAAGGGGACACCGCAGACAGGCTCCACTCAGCACAAAGGCCAACCAGCACTGATCACACAACAGCCAATGGCCTCACAAGATAGGAAGTTCCCTCCTTTGAAAACATCAGCACACAGTTTAGCCCACACACACACACACACCCGCCAATCCTAGTGTTGACACCTCTGAACACTCAAAAGTGACCCATACAGCTCACATACTGAAGTCACCAGCCCGATGCTAACCCCGCCAGCATACTGACACCCACCCTCGCTGATGCCAGTCTAAAACGGACATGCAGGCCTCAGAGCCCACTATGACCGCTCACACAGACACCAAGGGCCACAGTGTGTTGGAGATGTACCGCGAGTACAAACTGAAATATGTGTTGGACTATGAACAAAACACTCGCAAAATGCAGCCCTCTGGGCTGGGGCTGTGACTTGGTACAGTGCTTGCCTGGGGTTTCATCCTCAAAGCTGCATGAAACCCACACTGCCAGCTTTCTACAGAGAGAAGTGGGACAACTAGGAGTTCAAGTTCAAAGCCAGCAAACGCTACACGAGACCCTGAGGCTGCAGAGATTTCCCAGCACACCTAAAGCCTGAACTTCTGCACTCACAGTGGGCCAGAGAGATGGCTCACAGTTCTTCCAGAGGCCCTGGGTTCTGTCCTCAGCACCCATGTCAGGTAAAGCTCACTATTAACCTGTCGCTCCACCTTCAGGGGCCTCTGACGCCTCGGACCACCACCAGAAGCAGCACTCACATATACTTACCCCCCCCATATATTATAACTAACACACACACAGTTGTAACCTCCAAATCACCCTCCCACAAGGCACACACACTGGTGACCAGCATACAAGTACAGCATCAGAAACAGCACATGTAACAAAACACACACCTTTCCAAAAAATCCTCACAGAGCCACAAACATGCAGAAAACACCCTGATTTCAAGTAGAACTGACACTAACTGCAAAAATTTACACCCAGAGAACTGTGAAGCTGCTTGGGGTGAGGGGATCAGACTCGAAACTTGTTCCAGATAGGCAACCCACTGGTATACCCTCTCACCTACAAACAGTGCCAGCAGAGAACCCACAGAAAGTACCCCAGCTTGTCCAGCAGCAGACACTCAGCCACAAACGCCGAGCAGAATGCATGCTGGGATTAACACGCCAAATTGACAATGCCATGCTGTCCAAAAGCCCTCAGGAGAAAGACAGAAAGACAGACAGACAGAGAAAGGGGGGAAGGAAGAGGGTGCGTGTGTTCACACTCAGAACACTTATAAGGACACACTAGAAACAAACACATTGGTACAGCGCATGCCTGGAGACTAGGCTTCAAGGGGAATCCTGTTCCTGTCTCCCTTCCCCTCCCCCGTTCATCCAGACCCAGCAGGTCTAGGAGGGGGCAGGAAGGCCTGTGCAGGCCTCCTTGGCTGTTTCCTGCTCTAGAAGCTGGACAGGAAACTGGGGATCCAGCCGGAACCCAGGCTCTCTCCACAGCTTCCCCCATGCCCCAGCTGCCTAAGGGGCGGGACTACCCGGCCACCCTGTGCCCTGTCCTGCTTGAAGTAGATGTTCTGGGTAGTCCCAGCTGTGCTGGGTCAGGCAACCTGTTGAGCCCAAGTGCCAGGGCATCAGGGCAGTGCAAGGGCCAGCAAAGGTGCTGAGTCTGCAAATTACCCTCCCCCATGACTGCCAGCAGACAGGCCTGCCTAGGAGCAACAGGCAGTTGGGCAGGGCATGGGGCACAGCCAGCAGGCAGGCTTCAGGGTGAAGGGCTGGTGTAACGGCTTGGGAAGCCTGGGGGTGTGTCTGGGTGCGTGGGAGCTGCTACGTCTGGGATCCTGGGTGTGACTGTGTCTGGGTCTGTGAGGTCACTTGGGACTCCCCAAGCAAGTGGGTGTGTGTGAAGGGTGCCAGACGGTAGCTGTGACCTGTTGGTAGTCTGGTCGGAGTTGTGACGTGTATAAAAACCTCAGTGTGTGTGGTATGAGTGGGTTTGTGATGGGTCACGCAATGACCATGACCCCGTGGAGGATGTTTGTGTAACTGCTGGGGGTGGGGAGGTCTGTTTCCCAAAAGGGCTCTGATGCTGTGGTGTGTGTCTGGTGCATGTGACACTGTGAATCTGTCTGGCATGTGGTGGAACCATGGCCCTGTGATGGCCTTTTCTATCAAACTCTCTCCTTCCGCCATGTCCCTGTGAGGCTCCGGGGCTGGGCTGTTTATAGTCTGTGTCTGTGTGGTCTATGACTATGGCCAGGTGTCAGAATCCGCGTGTCACCAGTCCTGAGAGGTGAATGTTTGGTGTGGTTGTGGGACACGGTTCTTATTTTGGCTTCTGCTGAAGGTGGTGGGAGTATTTAGCGGTTGAGGGGTTCCAGTGCCAACAATGTGTGTCCTTGCTTATTTCTCCCCCTCCTGGGGCCAGGCCTCAGTGGTGTGAACTAGTGGCAATGGTAAATGTCCTGGCAGAGTGAGCTCGTCCTGCTGTCCTGTCACCAAACCAAGTCCAACCTGGTCCTTGAGGCTCTCATACCTGGAATGGGCAGAGGTCAGGAGGCCTAGGGCCGACTTACCCAGTCTCAGGACTGTCAGCTTCAGAGCAAAGGCACTGCCCTCCATCCGCCTCTCTCCTGAACATTCCCTGAGTGAAAAGCAAGTCCAGGAGTCCTGGGGGCCTGAGAAAGGCAGAGGGTAGGGGTAGTGAACTCAGGAGAAAGGAGGAAAGTAGATGGGGAAGGAGGAAGCAAGAAGAGCTCACAAGCTCACTGCAGCAGACGGAAGGGATGAGACGGCACAGGGCGCAGGCCATGGCTATTTCTTGCCTAGATAATTTTCCCAAGGTTATGCTCACACCACATGTCCACCTCCAGTTCACTCTCATTGACTTACCAGAATCTGAGCCCCTGAATTCAGTATCTTAGATCATCTGGTAATACTCACGCTTCCATGTCCCCCAAGTTCATTTGGGGTCCTTTAGTCTTGATATGATCAAGAAAGCAGTCTCAGGTACATGTACAGACCATGGGTTCAAATCCCAGCTCTGCCACTCAATAGCTCTATGGATTTAAAAAATAAAGGGCTCCTGCAAGTCGGAACTTCTATCTGTGAAGAGCAAACAGTCCCCACCAAAAAAGACAAGCTTTTGGAGAGAATGGGAAATATTGAGTCAAGACTCTCCATATGAACTCACTCTGGTTGGCTTTGAACTTGCAGTGATCCTCCTGCCTCTGCCTCCTGCCAAAACTACAGGCATGTATCATCACACCCATCCTAGAAAACTTTTTCTGAGGAACCAGGTGGTATTTTTGGCCCTGTGTACACTGGGCTATGCAGCAGAGGCGGCAACATGGCTGCAGACAGTATGTGGAGGAAGGAGCAAGTGTGGCTGTGGGCCAGCAGAACTTATTTACAGAAACAGGCTGTAGGCTGAGGTGGGCTTTGGGCCAAAGTCTGCCAACCCCTGCTCCCTTAGGCCATGGGAAGCCTGCTGTGAACCAGGGAGGACAGCCACACACCTGAGGTGTAGGAGAGCTGTCACCCCCTGGCTCGTGCTGGCTCAAGTCTGACTCAGCACCTAACACCTTTCCCTTGTTCTCCTCTGGTCTCTTTCCTCACTTGATGGCACACCCCAAAGTGGTTGTCACTTCTGGTCTTCCAAGAATGCACCTCCATGTCTCCCCTAAATTCCTTCAAGTCTCAAATACCACTTCCTCCTGGGAGCTGTCTCTCCCCCAAAAGTTTCTTTGCACACCGCCACACAGTCACCACCACCACCACCACCACTCACTGAATTTTGCTGAGACCCAGTCCGACAGCCCAGAGGCCCGAGCTCCAGGTCCTCTTGCCTTCCCTGCCTTCCCGGTGCTGGCATTTCAGGCACCACGTGCCCCACTTTGAACCAGTAGTTTGTTTGCCGCTTGAGACAGGATCTCACCATAGAGCCCTGGCTAGTCTCAAACTCGAAGATCCC